CACACACACACAGAGAGAGAGAGAGAGAGAGAGAGAGAGAGAGAGAGAGAGAGAATGAGAAGCAATTTAAACATTTCACATGGCAAAAAGTGCTGTTTTCCTAAAGGCCATTTCAATACCCACTGAAAGCTGCTTCTTTTTCCTGCCAATTGTCTTGTTGAGATGCAATATTATTAAATAAAAAAAAATCTGCAGTATTTTTTAATTTAAAAACTCTTTTACATATAAAATTAGTTATAGCAATCATTTTTCTGGAAAAAATATTTGTGAAATGGAAAATGTTTCTATTTGAACGCAGATTGTATTGGTAGAATTGCTGCACTTTTTGATTTGGTTTTGCGTTATCTTTCCACCCAGTAACTATAAACCAGCCCTGCCTTAACAGGGCTCCAGGGATCTGGCTGTAGATATTTATATTGTGCCTTTCAGGGGATACTTTATTCTGGCAGACAATATAATGCCTAAGCATCCAGCCCATGACCAGGTGTCCCTTTCCCAGGGAACTAGTATGGACTCACAGATTCCCTGTATTCTTTGTTGCCTACCTATATAGCCCCTCTGTATGACACCATTGCCAGAAGGAAACCGAAGGACAGTTGTGTTGATTAGAGGAAACACAGATGAGGCAGCACAACCAAACACTATATAAGAAGTAGATCTGCAAGAGGGGTGCTGACAAGGGTCATCCTGCATGTGTGAATCTAGAGAGTGCACCTATGGAGCGATATCTTTATTGACACTCAGGGTGTTACCCAAGGAATTTTTTTGTAGGGGATTCCAATTGTTCTGAGAGAAAACAGAAATGGATTCCATGGCATGGTTCCATCACTAAGGTTTTCACCACTGCACATGTGTACAATCCATGTAGGACAAGTGGAGTGAGTGAAGTACAGTGTATTGATATGTCCTATAGAGAACTGGTCATGAAGATGCAGGTATATATGATGGATCACTGGACTGACCATACTGAGGAACTGGGAGAAAGCAGAAAAGTGGAAATTAGGGAGCTGAGGAGATGGCTCTATTGGCTAAGTGCTTGCAACACAAGCATGGAATATTAGCACTTATGTAAAAGCCAGGCACAGCAGTGTACCTCCAAAATCCAGCATTGGAGACAGTGAGATATGTGAGTGTCTGTAGCTCATTGGCCAGTCAGTCTATCTGAAATGGTGTACTCTAGGTTCAGTGAGACACTGTCAAAATGTAAGGTGGAAAGTGATTACTGAAGACATTCAATGCCAATCTCTGGCCTCCACATGCCTCTACACATGCATGCATGTGTACCCACAGGCACATGTGCACATACCCATGTGAGCACATACATCTACCACACACAATTTTTTAAGCTATAAATTATGCCTAGAAGATGGGTCTGAATTTCTCATACCAGAAAAAGACTATTTGATATTGTTAGGTTCAGGAAGAGAGGGAACTGTTGCTTTCCATTGTATACCCACTAATGACCCTACCAGGCTCCAATAGAGAATTTTAATCCAATGGTCTGTCACACAGATGGCCCTTGTTAAGCTAAATAGGTCAGAAAACAAAGCCAATAGACATGAACCTGAGAAAGGGACTGATAGAGATGGAGAGGAAGATAAAGGAGGATGGGGAGAGAGAGAGAGCAATATATTATATTGTATACATGTATGAAATTATTGAATAAGATTAATCAGTAAAAAAGAGAAAAGTAAATTCTCAACCAACACAAATTTATAAGAATACAGCACATTCTCTGTCATATGGTTTAGTAATTGCAAGAAAGCACCAACCATAATGAAATGAGCAAACACTTCTTGTTTCAGCAGATGTTGTGTGGGAAGACCATTAAAATTGGTGCAACTGGTGGGGATTCTGCCCGTTGAGAAAGCTCAAGGTTGGAATCACTCAGGGCAACAAAAATATGATGCTTGATAATAGAGTAATAGCCTTGGTTTCCTACAAAGACTTTACAGTCTTTACAGGAGGTTCTAGGGGACCTGAACTCATGGCAGGCTTCAAAGGCATCTCAGTAGGTTTAAGACGAATGTAAAAATAAGTAAATTTTATTACTCATATAGTCCATCATTTTTTAATTTTTGAATGAAAGTGTCTAACAGAAAATATGAGTCTTTCTGGCTATTCATAACACTCGATAATTATTTTGTAAATTTAATGTTCTTTTCTTTTATCTATTACTGACCTTGGTTATTATTTTAAAAGAAGGATTATTTGTAGTTCCTGTGATGGTAATTTTTCATTGTACTTCAATGGTGTTCAGTTTTGTAAAACTTTCTGAACATGGATTCAAGTAGTGTGTTTCCAAGACAAGCAAGGATCCTGCAGTATAGTTGCAGGAAGGGAACACACAACCACACACACATACGTGTTTTTCAATATCTATTTAAAGAGGAAGTAAAATTTCATTTCTTCCTGTTTTGGGGACCAGTATTTGAGTGTTTCTACAGAAGTGTGAGGAAATTAATGTATTTTCTATATTTACTCATTCACCATCCTTTATTCACATGATTGCATTAAATTATTTCATGTTTTAGTGTTATGTTGGCATGTTTATCCTAGTTTATGCTGTCCTGTGAAACTTGATCTAAATACCTATGGGAAAGTTCTGAAATAAAAAGAGAAACACTGTACCTTTGTCTTTAAATATATTCTCACAAAATTCTGTAACACTTGTGTTGAATTAAAATAAATGGAATCAGTACATTTTTTTTTCCTGAAACTCTCATTAGAGTTCCACTAGGGGACTGGAGGGATGGCTGAGTGATTAAGAGCACTGGCTGCTCTTGCAGAGGACCAGGGTTTGATTCCCAGCACCACACCACAGTTCACAACCATCCATAACTCCAGTACCAAGGGATCCGACACATAAAGTAAAAATAATAAATAATTTTTTAGTTTAAAAAGAAGTTAGTAAAGTTCCCAATGGTGGCTAAGGCAGAATGGAAAACAGGAATCGTTTTCATAACTTAAAATAAAGTAAAAGCCTGTTATACTATATATACATGCTAGCATTATCATATCCACTTTTCAACACTTATTTATCAGTCAATGGCCTTTCAGATTCTCACGGAAACCCAGTGTCACCTGAGGACCAGGTGAGCCTTGCTCAGCAGATCTCGGACGTAGTGAAGCAGCCCGCGTTCATTGCAGGCATAGGGGCAGCCTGCTGGATCATCCTCATGGTCTTCAGCATCTGGCTCTATCGACACCGCAAGAAGAGGAATGGTCTCACCAGCACCTATGCGGGCATCAGGAAAGGTGTGCTGACTGTAAAAACACTTGATCTTAAAATGACTTGCTGTTCTTCATGACACACATCCTATATCAAACTATCTTAATATCTGAAGGTTCTCAGTCATGCTGTTATTTTACCAAGGTGTCCACATACAAATTTAGCTTGTGTAACAGGATGTTAAATAGAATTTGTCAGCTTCTCAGCACCCACTTCCTCTAAACTAGGTTTCCTCATGGTAGGTCTTGACTTGGCTATTGCTTCAGAGCCCTGCTGTTTTATGCAGATATTTTATTGTCTTATGCTCTTGAGGGAAATTTGTAATCTCCTGTCACAGGGTTTATAAATCAACTTGTTTTTTTAAACATCCAGTCCTTGGAACCCAGTGCTTCTTATCACACACAATGAAGTGTCATAGTCATATAATTGCAGCAGGTTAATGCTCTGTATTGTCTCCAGGTTGAAACAGTGACATGAAACTCCTTCCTTTTTAGTGTCATTTTCCTTTACTAATGTCCTTTGAGCATGTCTGTAGACACCTATGTGCTTTCTGCAGAGCTGTGCAACTAATACCATTGTCGTTTCAGTTAGCGTCTGGTGAAGCAGAAATCATGGAACATAATTACAAATGTAATCTAATAAAGCCCTTGATTCTGCTTTCCTCACTTTGTCTTGTTGGCAATTTTGTATAATTCTTTTTCTAAGAAATTTTCAAGAGCATTAGTTGATCTTAAATTTTCTATGCCCCAAACAATGCCAGCAGTTAGGAAAATAGGATCTGAAATATCTTAAAGAAATCAGTACAAAGAGCCTATTGGTCTACTAGTGAGGACCGTATTTCACTGTAGGTATGATATGTGAGCATCCTGGATACCACACATATCCATTCACAGTGATCTCTGACATACCAGGGTGGAGAGAGTTGATTATGCTATGGAAGCTTTGAAAATTAAGTTCAGTTTGGGTGAGCTACTAGTAAAACTTCCATTTAGTACCGATCTTTTCTCATTTGGTCTTCATTTTCACAAATCAGGGTTAGCAGTGATCTAGGAGATGAACTGACAAGGACCTTTCATAGTTCCCCATGTCCTTGTGGATGCAAATGAAAACTAAGTGCTCCATGCTTGCTTGAATAGCTTTAGTTTCAAATGTACCTCTTTTTGTATTTTATGATGATATGTTACTATAAGTAGGTTTGAAAGTAGCTAAATTATATTACTTTGAAAAGATCTGTATGAAAGTGCAACAGAATTCTTAAGATGTGTCTGTGAATTACAGACAGGAGCCAGCATAAAAACTGGGTGCTTTGGGGGAATTTTGCTGTTGTTCTTTCTAGTATGCTCAGAGAGAAAGCGGTTTTGTCAGAGGTGATGGTGGTGGAAGATGCTATAGTCTTCTACCATGTAACCTTCAATGCTCAAATCCCAACATCAATTTCCTATTAATGTTTAAATGGGTTTTGGCAGTTTAAAAATACATGATAATCAATATTCTAGTTTATTTGTCCTAAAGATTGTTTTAAGCCATCTTTAATCTGAAAGGAAAGCATGGAGGTTTCTTGCTTTTCTTTTTTTTAAATTAGGGCAGCATTTACTTTAAATTAAGGGGAAGAGATTGGAAAAATAATTCAGTCTCCTCCCTCTATGAAATTACATGGAAATTGCTCTGGTTTATCCCATACCCAGCAATGGGAGAAGATGGGAAAAGTGGGGGGGGGCAGGCTGCTACTTTTGAGGTCTGCAGTTCAATTTCAGGCATTATTGATTAGATTAAGATTTATAACTACAGAGAGAGTGAAGGTTCTCAGAGGTGTGTTATTGTTCTTTTGTTTAGCTTCTAGCATGGCATTAAAAATGTTCAGTCTACTCCTAGAAAGCTTCTAAATGTAAACTATGACAGAGACATTGAAGTTTAAACTCCACATTTTTTATATCCATTCATAAATTTTTATGATGATAAAATTACGATGTTACCCTGTTTCTGTGATACCAGGCATTCCTTGTCAGTGAAACAGTATGATTTTATGATATCCTCTCTCCCTCTTTCCCTCCCTCCCTCCATCCCTCCCTCCCTCTGTCCCTCCCTCCCTCTGTCCCTTTCCTTTCCGCAGCCCTTCCAGTAACGAATAATTTAACTACACCTATTACTGCACTTAATAAGCATTTACTTTCAGATTTCTAGATAAGGTTCCAGCACCACCCTGATAATTCTTGTTTAAGAATCCATCATCTAGTGTTTGGAAATGATTAATAATGGAGGATTCTTGTTTGTACTAAAACTAAAAGCTGAATCTATGTTACTAAATGCAGGGTCATTCGCAGGCTAACCCAGACAATTCCCCTCCTGAGAGTACTAGAATGCCAGACACTTCAGAATGGTACCTGTAGAGACAAGCTTCTTTTTTCCCCCTCAGTTTGGGTTTTATTCATATATCAGAGTGTCAGACCTACTGGCTTGGTTATTTACATTTGTTTTATGTTCAGCTGTCTGCTTGATTTATACTAATGTGATATGTTCCCCTTCTCTCTTCAGCTTAATAACTGGTTTATATTTTGTTTTGATTTTTCAGTCCCGTCCTTTACCTTCACACCAACAGGTATATATTTGCACTTACCCTCCTCCTTCCCTCCCTTTGTTAGTTTGGCATGTGTTGTGCTATTGTGTTTCTGGTTTCAGTTCATTCTGAGCAGTAACTTGGGGAAAGGACTTACATGGAATACAATACTTCATTTTCTCATGCTGGGCATGCATTTGAAGTCCAAGTGGTCAGTGCTGCTTTTCATCCACTTGAATGCAGTTATTTATTTGCACTCTACATTGCATCTGAACCTTGTTTGCATGTGTCTCTATTACACAGACACACTGTTTCTCTCTCAGCATGATTTAACATGCTAATCATCTTATTGATTATGTCATACTAGACAATGCACTCACTTCTCTCCCCTTAACTTAAATTTTCAGGTTTTCCAACAACAAAGAATTTCTCTCCTTCACAATTCTCTGTCCATAGAATTAATATTCTTAAAGGCAACCAGAATATTCAGCCCATATGAGAGATAAAACTTCATTTCCCCCAAGTCAGAAAACTCATATTCAGTTACATTCCGTTTCTTTCAGAGTAGGTCCTTCCCTCTCACATCGTCTCCAGACACAGATGCGCCTATAGTTAGGTGTCCTCAGTTTTAATCCAGTTATTGGAATCACTGGGAACAGTTATCTCTTCCTAACAGGCTCCCAGTTTGGAGTTTTTCTAAAGAGCAGAACTTGGCAGCTTTGAAAAACACATTTCTTTTAGAAAATGTGTCTGTATTTACAGAAAAGCTAATCTTCTTAACTCTTTGACTAACTATTTGTAAATCTGCTTTTGTCCCGGACAACATTTATTAAGCTTTCCAAGGCAGTAAAATAGTTTTTCATCATGTATACTTGTCTGATGGAAATATAATGAGAAAGTGTTTTTAACAAGCCACAATATAAATAGGTCACATTAATTAATAGTCACAACTTGGTGAATGTCTTTGTGTGTGGAAAAAAGGTTTATTTGAGCATTTTTTTTTTACTGGTATGCATTCTTCTGGGAAAACAATCTTGTGGGGTTTTTCCTCTGGATTTAGGATTTTTAAATACAAAATCATAAAATTATATGATTTCGTGAGACATTCAAAACAAATCCATGGGAATGGTAATGAACAAATACAATTATATCACAGTTCAGAGTATGCTTCAAAGTTTATTTTCCTTTTCTCAACCATATTGGAACACTAAAAAAGTAAGAACGCTGTGTATTTAGTTCTAAAAAAAAATCCTCTAAAATAGTCTTAGCTGGATAAAGTCTTTCATAGCTTGCAGTAATTTTTATAATACCTCTTCTTGGTAGGGAAAAGAGAGAATGACATTTTAGAAAGATGTTAATGAATGTAATATAATGGTTTTGTTTTGTTTGTTTATTTGTTTGCTATTTGGCCATGTCTATTAATTGTTCCTCTTTTTATTTTTTTTTTTAATGTTCTAGTAACTTACCAGAGAGGAGGCGAAGCTGTTAGCAGTGGAGGGAGGTAACTATTCTGCTTGCTTCCTAGATCTGAAGGGATATTCCAAACATTTCTGGTCTTCCTCAGTGACATTCCTTCCATTAGTTATAAGGTTTCAGTTAAAGATGAAATTTGTTTCAATCTTTTGAAAAGACTCTTCCATTCAGCTGTGCCGTTTAAACCAAGCTATTCACAATGGTTGTATTTTAGTTCTTGACCACTAGAGGGAACACTTTACCCAAGAAAAACAGACTTGACAATTTAGCAAATGATTGAAAGGAGTTAGTGATTAAACTGTGGCTTTTATGGAGAGTAAGAAATATAGCTAGTTAACAGACACTACCAAAGAAAGGTGTTCACCTGAAAACCTGCTGAATGCAGCAGTTGCTCAGAAGTTGTGCGTGATGTTCATTTGTTCTTGTTTTGAGCTCAGCATAGTTCACATCTCTGTTTTCAGGGAAATATATTGAAAGAAGGCGGAATCTAGGTAGCTTGTTAACAAAGAGCTTTTCCACCTCTAATTAAAGTGAACCTCCATGCTACATTTATGGGGTTTTTTGGTAATTATTATTCAGTGAACTTTAATATATTCACAGAGAAATCACAAATTGATGTAGCAAAAGGCTTTAAAGGGCAGAAATAGGGTATAAATTACAGGAGGCAAGCTTAAGGATTTTCCACAGTAAATTTTTCCACCCAAAATTGAAAAAAAAAAAAAATCAAGGTGATGAAAATGAAAAAGAAAGACCCTACCAAGCAAAACTATTTTATGAATCAAATTCGTTTAACTTATTGAATACCCTTCCTTGTATACTTGAATCATGTGGTTAGCTACTAGACAGACAAAAAGTGACTCAGATTTTATTCCTGAATCTAAGGAACACACTAACTGACAGGAAAATTATTAGACTTATTGTAAAACAAAGAGCGAGATTAAAAGACTGTGGTCTAGCTCTAGCCAGTGCTGTCAAATGTGGCAAGCAACACTAATCTTTTCTTTCCTGGCTACTACTAACTTCTTGTTTTCATACCTCTGAAACAAAGCCAGCCTCCAAAAGACCCCAAAGCTAGGAAGTTTTCACTACAAATAAATCCACTTGATTCAAGAATTAAAGCAGAGCATGTTTTTGCATCCTGGGGAATTCCATGTAAGTCACAGCCCAGGCGTTCATGAATAAGCCTCTGGCATGAGAATGTTTCCTCTTGGGTAAATCTGGAATGCCTGGTTATTTAGACACTGCTTTCTCTGCATAAAGTCGGCATTGTAGACTTCAGTTTTCTGAGTACTAGCCTCCATTCATGGACATGTTTGCACATGCTCAAACACATGTGCACACATAAAATAGAAGCCCCGTGCCTTTGCTAAAGAGTTTACCTCCTAAAGAGACCAAATTATCACACGGGAAAAAATGGCAGGAATGCATAGGCGGCATTAAGTGGTTTCTATATCGTGAATGAACAATGTCAACGTTCCTGAACACTCTGTTTGGAAAAGTCACTAGCAATGGAGAAAAACCTTTTAGAATTAAAAGCCGATACTTAGAAATGAAATTGATTTATTTCAAATACTCAGAGAAAAATCATTTTCTGAAACCAATTGCTATAGGATGCAGGAATGACAAAGAAGCAACAGTGAAATAAAGATTTCAGAGTTAATGCTCAGAATGGCAGCTATTTATATATTTTAAAGATATTTATTAATTAAATATAATGAACTCCTATGTGGAGACACAACATTAGCTGTTAGATGCATTGGTGAGCAAAGTGGGTAAAAATTCCCACCCTGGACTTAACATTATAATGAGAAAGACAAGATGAATAATAAAGAGATGAATGCTTTTAAAAAGTCCTCTGTGTTAGCAGTTGGTAAGTATATTGGACAAAGTTGACTAGGCAAAGAAAGACAGCTCACTGGGAGACCTTATTTCTAGCCATGGAGCAACTGAACGTGTGGTACATGTTTGTACATGTGTACACATGCACATGTGTGTATGTATGTTTATAATTGGAGCAGAGAATGAACACTAAGTCATCAATGGACCTGTTATGTCACTTAGTTAATGACAACTCAGCCCAGATCTTCCAGTCAAGATTTTCACCTCCTGCATTCATGACTGCATCGTTTGAGCCGTCTCTTACACCCCTCAGTATCACCAGTATTATTTCTCTACTAGCACTAACTCCCCCTTGCCTAATATAGATAAAGGCTCTGGCTGTTCCAACTTCTTCTCACTCCATTACAATACTTCCAGACAATTCTCTGTCAACTAAGGCCAGAATGAGGGTTACAATGTATATTGATTGTAGCTGTAATACTGAAAAAGCTGATTTCAGTTAGACCCTGTTGGTACCAAGTATAATATGTTAAGCCTTAACATGTGAAGCCCACAGATTCCTGTTTGAGCATACCAGCTTGCCAATATTGCATTGAGTTGTATGCACACTCAATCATGACACTGCACACAACTTATTTTACTAGCCTAAAAATTATTTCCTACCCACCATCCCTTGTCAGTTTACCCAGTTTCCACCCTTGATAGGCTCCAGTGAAATTTCTACTGTGAAGCTATCACAATTAAGCACCTAATATGAAGTATGTTGTTATCTTTTACTGAAATCAGACACCACCAAATTACAGTTCCTGGGTCAAATCCAACCTGCCACCCATTTTTGTAAATAAAGTTTTATAAGAATACAAGTGAGACCAGAGAGATGGCTTAGTAGTTAAGAGCATATACTGCTCTTGTGGAGTACTAGATTTTGATTCCCAAGATCCACATTCGATGGCTCATAACCGACACCTTCTTCTGGCCTCCATGGGTACCACGTACATACCCACACACAGGCACATACTGACTTCATCATTTAAAAATAAAATAAACCTTTATAAATAATATAGTCAAGTGCACTCTTTTCCATGCTGTCTGTGGCTGCTTCTGAGCTATAGTGACAGAGCTGAGTGGTTATCACAAATATTGTATAGAATAAAAATAAACTTTCAGTGGTTACTGTGTAGGGCATAACAGAGAAGTTTGCTAACTCTTGGTGTATATAATGACCTATGGCCATAAAATGTGAAGTTTTAATATATAATGAATGCATAGTTCAAGATCAATGAATGAATAATGCATGTACATAGGGGTGTGTGTGTTCATATAAGTATGTATGTGGTGTGTGTGTGTGTGTGTGTGTGTGTATGCCTGAGAAGGCCAGAGGTCAACCTCTGATGTCACTCCTCAAAAGCTATCCACCTCATTTTATGAGATAAGGTCGCCGCTGACCTGAAGCTCACCAATAAGGCTAAGCTGGCTGATGTGTGAGCACCAGGGATCCACCTGCCTCTACCTCATCAGTGTTGAGATTACAAATGCATGCCATTATGCCCATTTTTACATTGGTAATTGAACACAGGTCCTCATGCTTTTAGGCAGCAAGCACTTTACTGACTGAGCTATCTCTTCAGTCTAATAAATGAATGTTTATAATGTAATAAAGCTGGGGACCGGAGAGATGATTCAGTAGTTAAGAGCACTTGTAGATGTAAGACCCTGGTACCAAGTTTAAGACGGGGGTTCAGGTCCTAGCACCCACATGTTGGCTAATAACCATATGTAACTCCAGTTCCAGGGGATCCAATGCCCTCTTCTGATCTCTACAAGCATTGCACAACATGGATGCATTTATATACATGAAGGCAATACACTCAAACACTTAATTTTTTTTTTTTTTTTTGTCTTTTTTGAGACAGGGTCTCCCTGTAGTCCCAGCTGACCTGAATTAATTGATAAAATAAATAATAATAATAAATACAATATAAAGCTAATTTATTGGATTATATGAGTAAATTCAATGGTCACATGAATTATCAGTAGTTCAAAGATGTCATTGATAAATATCTAAGAAAAGGATGAATGGATTATTGTATAAATGAATGCCAGAAGCCTGAGTTTTGTCCTTAATGACTTTAAAGAAATTATTTGGGAAGGGATTTTTCCCCCTTTAATAAAGAAGCTATCTAGAACTCTTTTCTAGTTCTCCAGGTTGTAAATCAGTCTTTCCCCCAGTGAAGAGAAAATGAACATTGTGGTTAACCAGGAGACCTGTTCCCAGCATGAAAAGACAGACTGTGAGGAAAGTCAGAAGGATCATAGAAATACTAAGTAGCTGTTCTTGCTTCTTTGTCTCCCTTGCCTCAAACATTCCATTTCCTTCTTCCAAAAAACCTATTTCAAATCCAAACCACAGCATGAAACAGGAAAAACTAGGAAAAGCCGAGAGGGAGTTAGAAAGCCAAGTTACCCTAGTAAAGAAGGCCAATACCACAGTTCCTGTCAGGGGAGAGCAGAAAAAAAATGTGGGTAGAGCTAAAGTATTAGTTCTCTTAAATCACTGGCAACTCTTACATTTACCCTGGGACTTGAAACTCATTCACCCCACCAGTGGGGAAAGGATACAGCCAATAGTCTGGCAGCCCTCACTACTGGGATCCTGCATAATTTTTCCTCAGCTCCTGGATGCTAGAGTTTTTTACTTTGTGGTTTATCAGGTCAAATAGGTGTTCTTGGAATGAGTGATTGGAATATCCAAAGTAATGGAAAAGGAAGAATTGAAGGCAATTGCCACATAATTTTTTAAAGCATTTTAAAAATACTTTATTATTTTTATTTTACATATATGAGTGTATTACCTGCATGTGTGTAAGTGTACCTGTGCCTTGCAATGTTCATGGAGGTCAGAAGAAGGCATCAGATCCCCTGGAACTGGAGTTATGGATGATTATTAGCCGCCATGTGGGTGCTGGGACTCAAACCCAGGTCCTCTGCAAAAGCATTCAGTGCTCTTAACCGCTGTGCCATCTCTCCAGCCCACCACATAATTTTCAAAACACATTTGCTCTTGTCCTTCATGACTCAAAATGATGCCCTTAATATATGAAAAGATGTCATCATATAAAGAAATTGAAACACATGGCAAGCTGGTAGTCCACCCTGTGCTTTCCTTCTGCTTCATATTTGTTGCTGAGAAGTTAACCTGTCTGATAACATTTGATAAGCTTAAAAGATAAAGATAGCCCTTAGAATTCTTAGTTTCAAGACACAAACATTCTTATCAGAGTAGCTGTTATGCCCTTGCCTTCCTCCATGACCTCTAGAATACACGCCTGGCATTTCAAGCTTCCCTGTGAGCTAATAGTCATGTTTTACCTTCTCCCCAAGAATAATTTGCATTCCAAACTCAAGTCTAAACAGAAAGCTAGGGTGTAATTTGTTGATTCTACTTCCTGTTGGAAATCAGCCATCTATATGAAAAGTTCTCTGAGCTGATGATATCAAAGCACTCACTGAAAAAGTGTTTTTGCAGAGGGAATCACAGTAGCATACAAACACTGTCTGTTCCTTTTGAAACATGCAAGTCAGTCAGGAAATTTTCCACTTGACCTGCACTTCACACATAGCACATTATCTCCTCAGGGTCAAATACAGGAGTTTTATTTTTAATAATTTTGACAGTAATAACACTTAAGGCTTAAGTTCAGGGGAAAATAAAATAAGATAGGTAAAGATTACTAGATGCAGAATATCTATAACTAACATCTGTTTCAAACACTCCAGATACTGGTGGTACAGCTTACATTTAAATGTTTAAATTTTAAGAGTCCAGAAACGTTGCTCTTCAAAGTATGTTTTATCAACCATTTGAATAGCTCGGTTTTAACAGCTTTATCCTGAACTTCAAGACTACAGACATTTTCTCTACTTCTTCTATTACTGCGTGTTTGAGAGGGTTAGAGAATTTCCACAGGTTCTAGTGTGTGTTTATAACACCCTACGTCCAGTGTGGATATGGGGGCCATCACTTATGTTTGAAACTCAGCTCTGTCACGCACTGACTATGTATGACTGCACAAGTATCCTAATCTTGCTTATGTGTCTTAATTTCCTCTGCGAAATTTGGGTAATAACAGTCTGAACTTGTAAAATCATAGTGATTAAATGAGTTGATACGTTTAAACAAGTCCAAATATTCTTGCATACATTTTAAGCAGAATGTAAATATTTATTCTAATTAAACAAGTAGATAGATGATAGATAGATAGATAGATAGATGATAGATGATAGATAGATAGATAGATAGATAGACAGACAGATGGATAGATAGATAGATAGAAAGATAGATGATAGATGATCACATATAGACACATATCTATGTATATCCATATAGATATAGACATCTCCATATGGATACAGATATTACAATTATGAATCCATATTCTTCATTTGAAGTAGATTATTCCTAAAATAATGATCATTTTCATAATAAATTTTCTCCCTTAGCAATCTATGTGATCAGATAGTAACAAACAGCACCATAGAGAGGGTCTTGCTTCCCAGCTAAGTGAGAAACATGGTTATCACACTTTAGCAATGAAAATGAGCCACAAAGAAAATCATGGAGTAGTCTACAGTGCCAGTCTGTTTTATTGTGACTTGAACAGAACGTCACACCCATCACCTTTTACACTGGGTGATCACATGGAGTCAGTGCTAGAAACAGACATGGACTACATCCTTTGTTTCCCTGGCTCTAGAAGTCCAGAGCTCCTGTTAATTCCTGCCAATGCACTTTGCCTCCCCAAAGTATATGAAGATTAGTATTAATTGTGAAAAAAAAGCACTGATATTTCTCTTAGTCAATGTCTTTGTTTTATCATATTTTGTTAGTAGCTCTCCATTGTTTATGAAAGGACATTTTCCCTATGAGGCAGTGTTGACAAGTGTACAGAACGGCACACTGAAACACCGGTGTAACTCTGTGTAAAATGTCATAGGGCCTCATACTCTTTCTAAAAGTAAAGTGACTTTGAAGAAAAATATGTAAAGATACCTTGTGTGAGGATCTATTATTTCAATAAATGAGCATGTTCTATTTTTGATGCAGCAATTTTTAATGGATCAAAAATGAAGAAATGTAAGTGGCCTTACCAAGGGTATTTTAAGCTACTGTAAAATTATGCACTGATACTTTTAGATTCCGTTTGATTTTTAATCACTATGACTAAAAGTAGGGTGAAACATTGCAGACAATAAAGATTTTAATGCTGATAAAAACTCTACCCAACTTATGGCTATGTGTACTCAGACACATTTTAGAGCACTATATTAAAATTGCCTGCTTATTAAATAAAAGACATAATAATGTCATTCAATATAGTCACCAAATTATGATGACATGAATCAAATGAAGTGTTTTGTTGGAATTCTGAATGCGAATCATTATTTTCTTCATGTAACACTTGCTTTTTTGTATTATTTTCCTTTAGGCCAGGACTTCTCAACATTAGTGAACCTGCCACACAGCCTTGGCTGGCAGACACGTGGCCTAATACTGGCAATAATCATAACGACTGCTCCATCAACTGCTGCACCGCTGGTAATGGAAACAGTGACAGCAACCTGACAACCTACAGTCGCCCAGGTTAGGGACATGGCTAGAGCTGAAATATATCAGCTTAATGAGGAATTATCCAGAAGGAACCAAATTTCCTTCCTGCATGGGAAAGAAATCTGTGATCAATATTTTTAGGAAGTCATAAATGTTACATAGCAAACTAGCCTAGTTCAAGTATCTTCTCCACCCCTAAACCTCTATACTTTACTTTGTGTCAGGAACACTTTCCAAAGAATATAAACATGCTAATTCTAGAAAAGAAAGCCAGTACAGGAAAATGAAATCATAAGAAAATACCTAATATAATATATATAATATATATATATATTTCTAATTGTTTAAAGGCCAATAAATCCATAAACTAGATTCTTCAGTGGTAGAAACATAAATAATCACCAACAGTAACAATAAAACAATTTCAATTAAAATTTAACCAAAATTTTAAATCAGATTTCATAGTATAGAAACAAATCCTAAGACTACACACACACAAACACACACACACACACACACATACATACATGGCAGAAGTATGTGTCTGCATTAATTATGTATTGTACATTTTGGGCAAGAATATTGGATGAGTAAATTTCTATGCTAAAATTTCATGCCAAACATGAATGAACAAATGAATGTGGAGTTTGCAAGATAAAGTTACAAATAACTTATAAAACAAAACAAAAAGTCCCAGTAGTCATAAAATTAGAAACATTCAAATAACTGCAAAAATCAAAAACTATGAGTAGGGAAGTAGAAAAACTCATAGGATATGGAAAAGAGAAGGTGGCTGTAGGTGAAGATGGTAAAAGTTGTAAGAACAAACCACAGAGCCATCTCTATGTCTACCCTTAAATCAATTCTGAGTCTTCACTGAGTATGAATGTCTCATATCCCTGTGGCAAGTCTGTGTTCTGAGTTCCATGCTAGAGTTGTCTAGACACACAGCCACACAACTTAAATAAAATACCTGCTGAGACTAACTGGAGAGAGGAAACACTGACAGCCACGTGAATGAATATGCAGACCTTCATTGTCCAATATGCTAGCAGAGATGGCTTTTAAAATTCAAGTTAATTGATGACCTCATATGTACTAGCCACAGTGCTTTGTAGCCACATATGACCAGTGGTTGCTGTGTCAGAGAACATTGGATAGAAGGGTGCCAAAGGGTGCCAAAGTCTTTTTTTTTTAAATCTTTCTATTGAATTTTTGAGAATTTCATACAATGTATTTGTTATATTCGGTTTCCCTCCCCTATGAGCATCCCCCCATTTATTATCCTGCCCACCCAATTTCATGTCTTCTATTATTTTTGTAACACCTATCTGTCTCCCCAAATGCCTTTTAGAGTGGGTCCATCTTCTGGAGCCTGGTCAACTTACCCAGCATCACACCCTTAAAGAAAATTGACTCCCTCTCTCCCCTCAGCTGACAGTTGCCAATAGGTCCTACACTAGGGTTCGGCCTTCTTACACACCTACCTTCTCTATGCTGGGACTTCATGTGGCTTGAACATATGGAGGTCTTGTGCATTCAGTCACAATTGCTGTGAGTTTATATGAGTAACTGTCCTGCTGTCTAGAAAACACTACTTCCTTGTAATCATCCACCACCTCTGGCATTTGCAATGACCTATTGTATAAAACTCATATATTGGCACAGCAAAATGAGGTTTCTAAAACCAATTGTCTTTGTTATATTTCTTAACCACTGTTAAGTAGAATTTAATGCCTAGAAATTAGAAATAGACTTACTACAGGCCAGATTCACTGACTATCCCAGCTATATGATATATAATAGAAATACAGAATAGTTGAATTTAGTGGACTAGGACAGTTGCAAATTTTTCTTAAGACAGCATTTCTATTTACCTCACAAGTAGCAAGCTTGTTAATTTATCGTTTTTAAAAATATCCCACTGAAAACTAATTCTCTGGAAAGCCTGTTAATGTTGGTGCAGCTTGGCAACAGCATGAATAAAATAATGGTATTCTTCCATAGCCATGTTTTATTTCAAAATGGTTTAACTTAAAATCTGACTTTAGTTCTTCCTGCTGTCTTAATACTTTGAACTGTGGGCTTTAAATACATCTGTGTATATCTATTATTTAGTTCTTAATTGTCCCAATGAAAGGAGAATTAGAGTGGAAATGAGATATTAAGCATGTTAGGTATTATTCTGTCTTTATTTGATTAAATGACCCTGGTCACTATGATTCATTTTGTCATCATTATTACCGTTTTATACTTCTTGGGGTGTCATTCTGAAACCATGAAAAATGATAATGTAGCATCTTTCTCTGATAGTGATATCCAAATTATGAACTAATAAAATTCTCCCGAGCACTATTTACTATGACTGAGCTCTTAATAGAAACACTTTATAGAACAGTGAAATCTTGGGTCCTTTGGCCTGTAGTTAGAAGTTGCATCCCCCGCACTGCCACTATGGTCTGAGTTCTCAATGTATATGCTTATTTCTATTGCTTTAACAGCTTCAAATAGTAGCTTCAAATAAGTCAGGAACCCAAAACTAGAAAATGTAAAAGGATACACGCAGATTTGTGTGTATATGGTTGTAGCAGAATTCTTGTAGATGGAGTTGAGGAAAGCTATTTTAAGTTGGATGAATTATTTAATACATAACACTAGCAGAAGTTCAAAGTTATTTGGTCTCTGCATGAAATCTATGCATACCCTTATTTCCTCAAATTTTGGTTTCTTTTTAAAGTCCATACAATTACTTGGTCCCTCCTGTTCATCTTAAGCACATTTTTACTTGATAGACCAATTTCATTATTACTCAAAGAGCTTAGGAAGAAATTTAAGACGAATAACCATGCAGAATGACTTTTTCCTTTTCCTCTTCGTTGCACATAGCCGATTGTATAGCAAATTATAACAACCAACTGGATAACAAACAAACAAATCTGATGCTCCCTGAGTCAACTGTTTATGGTGATGTGGACCTTAGTAACAAAATCAATGAGATGAAAACCTTCAATAGCCCAAATCTGAAGGACGGGCGTTTTGTCAATCCATCAGGGCAGCCCACTCCCTATGCCACTACGCAGCTCATCCAGGCAAACCTCAGCAACAACATGAACAATGGCAGCGGAGGGGACTCCACCGAAAAGCACTGGAAGCCTGCGGGTCAGCAGAAACAGGAAGTGCCACCCATTCAGTATAACATCATGGAGCAAAACAAACTCAATAAAGGTGAAGAGCTTAGCTTTGTTACCACCCCTTTCTGTAAAAAGGCCCTTCATCCAGCACTAGCTGTTGAAACTGGTCTGTGATGACTAGCAAGTCAAATTTTTCCTTTGGTTACTAAAGTTATTCTTATGTCTTTGATTTCAAATTTTCCAGTGTCAGAGTTAATTAGCACAACAATAACCTTGAAAAATTGATTTTATAATAATATATATTTTCAAATGGTTTTGAGATTAATTTAAATTTAATAGTAGGTGAGAGATTGCTTAGGACATGCAATCTTTTATTCATAAAGCACAAGTACAACCATCACAATACTTCACATTCTCAACAAATAGACTATTCCATTCTTTCCACTTGAGGATGGAAGATAATTGCTTCTACATGGTTGTATAAACCAATGGCATTTTTATATCAAACTGCTGAAAAATAATTAAATTAAATTTGAACTGAAGAAGTGGTTCAATTTCTTGTATCACCCCATATGATTACTCAAACTGATACAATATATAATTTTAGGACCTATATTTCTATGGTTGACCTGATTGAAGTCTGTCTGTATAGAATCGAAAATAAATTGAGTTTAGTATTAACTTGAAGCAGTGACTAGTATTGTATGGCCTGAGGGGAATGTCTCTGCATTGTAATGTATGGGTTTGACGAGATAGGCATTTGATTTCTTTGTAGTTCTCCAGGCTACTGCTTTAATAATTTGATTTGCAGAGTTACACCTCTAGGAAAAACAAAATTGTTCTAATTTGAATAGATGGGCCACTGTTGTACAAGTACATAGGTAAAAGATGCATTTTATTATAGGTAATTAGAAACATGGTTTTATATTTTCTTGAGGCTTATAGCTAGAGATTACCAAAGGATAATTTAAGCATTTCATTTGATTAAGTCCATGCTATATGTTTTAATGTCATCTGACCCTCTTAAAGTCATCTAACCTTTTCCCAAGTTTAAAGACGCACTTGATTGAAATAATAGCTCAATTGAATGAAATTCATTAAGACTCCTGCATAAGTTCATGATCAAGACTGACAAAGATGGATAGGACAATTTCTGTAATCATAGGGTTTACTGTGGTGGTTCAAACTGTTGTCACATTATTCTACTAGTGTATGTGCTTTCCCTTTGGATTTTGGAAAGCCCTGGAAGTCCTGTGTACAAATAGTTCAGAACTCATTCATTTACACTGCTTGTAAGCAAATTTAGTATGTCAAAATGTAATAAAGGCCCTGAAATGCAAAAAGACTGACAGATTAGTATTGCCTATGGTTCAGTGGCAGGCTGAGCACTTGAATTTTCACCTCTGCCTAAGTAAGCAGAAGCATTTCTGGAGAAGGTTAAGATATTTAATTTTCTTACTGGGTATATATTTTTCTTAGATAACAATCTTGCTGACTACTTTCAGTTCTATACCTATATAAAAAGAATTGCATATGTAGTTAATCTGCTTAGTTTGTTACCATTTGAAACTAGGCTACAAAACGCATAACCTTAGAGTGCACTTAATCAGAAAGAAAGCCTAAAAGACAATAGCCTGAGGTCTAAGTATATAATAGGAAGCTCTCTCAGTTTACAAGCTCACTACTTCCATGGTGTATATATCTATGTGTCTATGTGTATTTACAAGTAGTATACTAGGTTTTTAACTGAACCCAAGGCCTAATGCATATGGAACATGCATTATACTGCTCAAATAAAATCCTAGTCCTTGTTGTTATATTTTACATATACATACATTTATGCATGTGTGTCCATTTGGAATATAAGTCTTTTTATATGTTGACAATCTGAATAGGAAAATAAAGAGTACCAGGTAAATAAATGATTCAGCTAATTTCTTAAGTTACTCAGAAATACAAATAAATCAAATGTGAATAACCTACTAAGAGAAAATAATTATTCTTCCATCTGAAATGTCTAGATTATCGGGCAAATGACACAAATCCTCCAACTATCCCATACAACCAATCCTACGACCAGAATACAGGAGGCTCTTACAACAGTTCAGATCGGGGCAGTAGTACATCCGGTAAGTAAGAAAGACAAAGGAAAATGTGAACCTGTCTTTAAAAGATGGCTTATTCCAAGAAGATAAAGGAAATGCTCATCGGCTGGTGTACTTAGGGAACGATATCATCACTTTATATCATTTGAATCCCAGACGTGAATCTGATCTGAAACTTAAGGTACTATCCATTCAATAAACGATTTCATATTCTACTTGGTTTCAAATGCTCAGCCTCCTTCTTCCTTCCTTCTTAATGAAGGAAAAATCAAAAGTGCAAAGTAATTTTTAAATGCAGTTAAAAACTCTTTTTTCCCCTTATGGCCAAAATATAGCAAAGAACATTGCATGTGTCATTTATCTGCTAAACGTGTTACCCGAACAAAAGTTTGAGAAACAATAACCTGGAGTCGAGGTGTAGCAGGAGCCTATCTTAGCTCTAGTGTCTCTCAGAGATTGCCTAGTTCTTGCTGGAAACCTCAAAGTATCCTCACAGCCTCAGTCTGTCCTGCTCATAAGTCACAGTAAGGCTTCTTCCCTGTGATTGCCATGTGCCAGCAGCTGTCTGCCAGCTGTTTTCTTGATAGGTGCTGCAGATGGGAGCTTACTGGCACTTATGTCCTGTTTTTGTAATTAAAGGCAGTTCATTATTAGAAGTAACATGTGGCAAGTCACACCACAATGAGAACAGAGCGATTGATCTTGAGTGGAACATGCTTCTCCGGGACAGATGAGAAATGGCGTCTCCCAACAACTGCATTAGCGTTGCTAGGGTCTTTGTGCCAAGCATCTCTGCCCCCTTCTGTAATGAGCATCACATTGGCAGTTCACTATCCTCCCATAGCTGAGCTATGACGATGGGCATTCTCTAGCCTGTGTTGACCTGGTTCTTGTGTGAATTAAAGGAGAATAGTAACGATTCTTTACCTTTTTAGATTTTTCTCAGCTTGTACTATATGTTCTTTCTCCAAAGTATTGAATGACCTTTTCTTTTCCTCTTCAAGGTAACTAAACCCCAAGGTATGAGTAAAATTCTGGCTATCTATTGTTGGTAAAATCGTATAAAATATTTTAGTATTTGATTAGTGTCAGCCATTTCACTTTTGAATTCTTAGTTACAGAAAGTATATTGATAGGGAAAAAAACACAATTCTAGGTTCAATTGACCTCCAACCCTCAGCTTAGGTGCCTGAATCTGATATTTAGATTCAGTTCATTATTGGTTATTCTATGGACATTTGGTAAAAAGATAATACAGATGGAAAATCCAGTATTGGGTAGAGGAGAGAAGAGAGCAGGTCAATAAAGCAAAGGGGATATCTGTGATGTGCCACTCAGGGCAGATGCTCTTCTTACAGTATATGCACTGGCTAATATCAGCTCATAACACTTGAACCACGTCTTGAGGCAACCGAGTGGCATGGTTGAGGAGAGACTAGAGACACACAGGCATAGGGCTGACAGTCACAGTTTATTAATAACAGCCCACTCTTCAGCCCACACTTGCTACAATAACATACCAGGCCAAGAACATCTGGCATAACAAACACTTCCATGTGACTGAAAATTTCTGACTGATTTAAAAAAAAAAAAAATTTAAAGGCTCATTGAATAAGCGAAGGCTTGCTTCATGTCTCAGAAGACTTGTTTCAGAGAGAGTTGTAAAGAAAGATCAAGGTAATTCAGTGATATTAGGGGCTCATGTGAGAAAAAAACATACTCAGTGTTCGTTCATAACATACATATGAATCTGAAATATATTAAGAGGGAGTATTTTACCCCAGAGTATCTTGACCTAAACCTTTCTAAAATTTAATACAGGTATAGCTAGCAATGTTTAAAGAATGAGCTAAAGTCAAAACACTGTCGCACTTGAGTAACTGGGCTACTTAAACTACTAAGGGTGTTCAAGCACACTATTATTTCCTATAAGCCGTAACTTTATAGAAACTGGTTGAAGATGCTCTGCCCTTTTATAAAAAATTAATTTTTCTGCTTCTTTTGTCATTAGTTATTTTACTTCTTCTGGCAATTACTTTCATCTCTCTCTGCCCTCCTCAAGAAAAGGAGTGATTTCACTGTGCCTAAAACATTTCAATGGACAAGTACAAATTATATCTATTCGGTGATTTAATGCAACAGTGCAAGTCTAATAGATCGTATCTGTATCATATTGTATTTTAGGTTTCAGCAATTAAATAATAGAAAGGCACTCTAGAAAATCTGTCTACAGCTCATTTGTTTTAGATGATAATCCATAATGCAATTAATTGCTGTAGGAAGATCACTATTAATGATATGGCTTGTAAAATCCATTTATGCTTATATTGCTTTCTTTCTATATACTTTGCAGTTGAACTTGGCAATACTTTGCTCTTTCTCTTGTATAAAGTGCTGCTTAAAATTAATGAAGAAAAGTTCACTTATCTCTGTATGCATGTATGAATTACAAGATGATATTTGAAAATATTTAACTCTTGAGTGGGAAAAATATAAAGGCCAAAGACAAAAGACTTGTACTTTGCTTCTTTTCTAGGGAGTCAAGGGCACAAGAAAGGGGCACGAACACCGAAGGCCCCCAAGCAGGGTGGCATGAACTGGGCAGACTTGCTTCCTCCTCCTCCAGCACATCCTCCCCCCCATAGCAACAGTGAAGAGTACAACATGAACATTGATGAAAGGTAAGAGGAGCTGCACATGGAAGCGGTGCAGTGTGAATGGATGACATTAAGCTGCTATGAATGATGGTTCTGCATTGCCAAGAGAAAGCTGATTCCTCAGGTCCACAGACACCAGTCTCCTCTGGACTGCCTTATATATGCAGTAATGTTTAGGAATCTTTTGTAGCTAGCATCTAAGAATTATAGATATATATTATGTATGCACATATATTATACATATGCACATATATAATTAATACCTCATCTATATACATATGTATACACATATTTTAAATTGTGTATATACATGAATACATGTGAACTCGTGTATGTATAGCTCTATATACATGATTTCATGATATGATATTTCAAATACATTCATAAAACCCCAAGTCCTTTGAAGTCAGTGTTGGGATACTTCATGTAATGGTGATCCCCTAAGATTATCATGGAGCAGAAAAATTCCTATTCTGTAGTATTTTTACTGATCTTTCTCTATCTTTAGTATATCTGAAAACACGAATTCTTTCCATTGCATTATAGTTGTCTTCCATATTAAGTACAATAACTTGCTTTACAAGTTTATAACCTAGGAACAATTGGGTATGTCAGTTAGTCTAGGTGTACAGCAGACTGTACCATCTAGGTTTGTGTAAGAGTAGTCTGGTATGTTCACATCATGATATATAAGGTCGCCTAACAATGCGTTTCCCAGAATGTATCCCCACCATTCACCAATGTCTAACAGTGTTATAACTCCCTTAGCAAATAGATATTCAGGTTTCGTAAAATATTTGCATAGACCTATAGAACTTGCAGTATACCAAAAAACATTCTTTCTTAGATATTATTTTATTGTGCTGAAAACTGTTTAGGAATTTCAGCTTTGCAGAACTGATTTTCATGTAGACATAAAAATCTACATGGTAAACTTTAGGAAGGAAATGTGTTTCCTTCTTGTTTCAGAATCCGTGTAACTGGAGATGGTACCACCAAACAAAATAAACAGCTGTCTCCCCAGTAGCTTTAAAAGAGAACTCACTTTTCATAGAAAATTAACAACCAGAAAGTGCAATCTACCTGAAAATGCTTTCTTTTTAGTGCCTTGAAATAAATAGAAATAGTGGCTTGATTAGTGTCCAGAAAAAAAGTGGTTAACAGTTTCAGCTCTTCCAGTAAATAAAGCTCTGTCTCTCAGTCTCCTAGTCATATTTAAAATTTTTACAAGGAAAAGTTGTATTTGAAAATATTTATAGGTAACTCTCATTGTCCATAGATGTTATGTTTCATAGTTGCATATGACACTGAGTTACTAAATACTGAGCAGTTGCTCCTGAGGGAAAATGAGATTAGGTCCCATAGAGGTCTCTGGCCCCAGTGATTTTTTCATTGCATGCCCTGTTCTTTGTGTGTTTCGTTTAAAAATACCTTAGTTAACATCTGCTTTTCTTCACTAACATGAAGCTTATAACCAACAGCACTAGTTCATTTCCAAGGATACTCAAGTGTAAAGGACAGAAAGCCAATCACTGCCTTCCTATGTTTAAAGGCACTTTCGTATTTTCATTAAAAGCCACTGTAAAATGACAGTTGCTAGTATTAAGCAAAGCAAGAAGCCCACAAGCTTGGTACTACGTGAACTCTAGAGAGGGTGTTTAATGTATGAGCACTGACACAAAAGGCATTCCAGTTTTTCACTTCAGTTGGGGACGTTCATATGAGGTGGCTCCATTTTGGGTCTCTGTGCAGATGTAAGAATGATGATGGAATGTCACAGACACATTTTGTGGTTACTGAGTAAACTTTTTACTGAGTCAGTATTTTGCCAGTGTGGAATCTGAAAGTAACAAAGATCAGCTCACCTATTACTTTTTGAAAGTTTGTTTTCCTAGATATTTTAACACAAAATTTACTGCTTAATTAAAAAAAAAAAAAAGGCATAACATGACATGAGATAATATGAAGAAAGTAAAAAACCCTATCCGGGTTACAACTGTACCCCAGAGAGAGAGACCATTATGAACAACATAAAATGGTTGGTACAATGGAAGAATGAAAGTGTCCTGATTGGCTGGTAGTTCCTCTTGACCTTGACACAGGAGAAGATTCTGAATAAAGAAGAAAGGTTTTATGGACACTGGGACCACACAGAGATGTGGACTCCTGGAGATCTAACAGGAAACACATGGGAGTGAGAGGAAGCTGGGAAGGCAAATGTAAACCAGATCATGCAGATACTTGAATGGCTTGCCTTGGCATTTTTATTTTATTTTCTAAGCAATAGAAGAATCATTTATTGCTTTGGAGCAAATGAACGATCTGGGACTTATGTGCAATTAATTTTGGAGCAACATTAAGATCCTGAAAAAAAGAAGTGACCAGAAGGAAAGAGATAAATTAAAGGATTATTGCAGTGGCACATACAACAGATCAAAATAGGTGGCTAGAATCCCGAGTTTTGCAGATAGGATAGAGATGAACTGGGGAACAATTAGTTCAGAAGAGAGAAAGAAAACAGTATTCATGTTTTCATAAGATTTTAGTTTGGATGATTGAATAAATTTCTGTGCTGCTTGAGAACAAAGGAAACATAGACAAAAGGGACAAGGAGTAACACAAGCATTAGGGAAGTAAAAGAAGCCCCTGGCTCTGCTGTTCTAAGTTCTGATCATTTTCTAACAATGCATTTGTGTTAGCAATACCTTAATAGGACCCAGAATCTCAGATCTGAAAAGCAGTTGAATGCTGACACTCTAATACAAATAGTTCACTACACTTTGTTACAATTCGTTTGTAGCTATGATCAAGAAATGCCATGTCCTGTGCCTCCTACAAGGATGTATTTGCAGCAGGATGAATTAGAAGAAGAGGAAGATGAAAGAGGCCCCACTCCCCCTGTACGGGGGGCAGCCTCTTCTCCAGCTGCGGTGTCCTACAGCCATCAGTCCACAGCCACTCTGACCCCTTCCCCCCAGGAGGAGCTCCAGCCCATGTTACAGGATTGTCCAGAGGACATCAGCCACATGCCCCACCAACCAGACAGGCGGTAAGTTCTCGAATTTCAACCGCTCAGCTACAGTTGAATGCTATGTGTGCCATGAAGTAATTTCCAAATCACATGAGCATTTTCTTAGACTATCATCCTGCACTAAGCCCAAATAATGGACATACCAAGTAATATTGTTGACTTTCAAATTAGATGAATTGATCCCCATGAACTTGTAACCATAAAACAGTGTACATTAACATTCACCCACTTATGATGATTATGTTCATAAACACATGGCTTGCTACTACTGCCATAACTTGTTATTGATGATGAGTCTTTTGTGCTTTAGTTTTTCTTATCTATAGACAAGTTGCTTCTTTGTTTAGCAGAAAAATAATATCCTGTTGTCATTTTAAGTTAAATCCACATAATTATTCACTCCCGCTAAGATACAATATTATTAAAAAATTAGTTTGGTATATTTATTTTATACCTAATTTCAGGTATCTTTATCTTGATTCAGATTTTTGGTTGGGATACTTGTGTTCAGGCTAGAAACATTATATGCATAGAATACATACATACTGTATGCATGTAGAATATGTACGCACGTGTGGACTTTTCTAATCTGTACAGAATGAGCAATAATGCATTTGTATTTTATGTAGTGACTGTCCTTGTCATTTCTACTACATAAAAGCTATTACTGCACTGTTAGCTCTTCTCTCATTGTTGATGATTTTGTTTGTACTATTTTATTGCCCTTGACACGTTATATTATATATCTATTGCTTTCCTGATTCCTAATATCCTTTGAAACTGAGTACATTATTTGCCTCAGAAGATTTTTCCTTCAATATCCTTGAACAAAAAATTCTAGTGTATGCTGCTTGAATTTCACCCTGTAGATTAAAACACAATTTTCAATGCTTACTAAATATCTTAAGGCGTTATTACTAAATTTAAATCACACACTGTCTATAAAGAAGGAAGTAGTTAAACCTTCTTTTGTGTGATGAGCCCTATGTCTGTGTGTGTATGTGTAGACTGGGTTGCTGTATATTTAAAATTAATTATGTTAGCCCTTAGAACTGTAAGAAGATTGGGAATAAATAAGGCATATCTTTTCCCTATTAAGGTCACAGACCATCTCTGTTATTCTTATTAAAAGCAAATGAGACACTAATAGACACTATTAAGCTCTGAAATACCTCAGCAATCTTTTGTTCTCTAAAATTACCTAAACTGCCTATTGCCTAACTACTCCCCTCTGAGTTACCGGTAGAACCTCTATCTTTCTGGCTAATCTATAGCCTTTTTGTTTATTTGATTGTTTGTTTATCTGTTTATTTATATTTTGGTGTTTTGAGACCTGATCTCTATATGTGGCCCAGGCACTCCTGTCTCAGCCATCCCAGTACAGAGATCACGGGTGTGGTCACCACACCCTGCTCTGGCTAGCCTGTTCTCTTTTCTTCCCTAGGTAATCCTTCCACCTTCCTTTTAAACAGAAGTCAGTGAAGTTCTTTTTCTCCTGGCCTTGCAGCCCATCCTCTTCTTTTAGTCCCTCCTTTTTCACTGTTAACCACCTTTTTTGAAACTTTCCCTTTCCAAAACCTTCCTTTCTAAGTCCACGGCCTCCCACTGCTTACACAGCTTGGTTGCTTCTGCTTTCCAGATTCCCGTTCATACCTTGGCCCTCTGCATTCTGGCTCATGCTACTTTACTCCAGCCATTTATCTGCCTGCCCGTCTTTCTCACTCTTCAGCTTTCTGCAGCGATGGCATTTTATAAAGTGTTCTGAGAATCAAATGAGATAATGTATGATCAGTGTCTGGAGCATGCTGTTTTCAACAAATGGTATTTCTCTCCTGTCCTCATTCTGCTGCTTGATGCAGCCACTACTTAGAGTCTGATGGTTATCAAATTTATTTAGCTCCCCCAGACTTTCTTCCTAAGTGTCATGGTATTTTCACGTGCTCTTGTCTTTAGTAGCAATCTTACATAGAATTATCAGTTATACTGATAATTTCAGCCAGTGTATAAAAAACATAGACAAAAAAACCCCCAATTTTGTTGTTTAGAAATCAGCTTAGTTATATATAGTACTGTGTAATTTCTTCTGCGTTCTTCACACCTTCATACCATTCCATAACTTTTGCCATGTACCAGTGTCTAAATGCTAACTCCAAAATAGCTCTTGATATTGTTCTATTGTTTCCATTTCCATAGTTGCCTCTGTAAGGTTCAGCTCAGTTCCAACACACACGCACACACACACGCACACACACACGCACACACACGCACACACTCACCCTCCAGTACATTTGAAATAATCTCCAATCTGCTGTCCCTCTCCCTCCCCTCCATTTTCTTTCCCTCATTGCATCAGATACTGCTGTTTAGTCCAGTATTCATAGCCTCTCAGTCCTTTCCCTATGCTAACCTTTTTTTGCTAGGTCTTGAATTCTTTTCTAATTAGTCTATTTGAATTTCCCTGAAATTATCATAAGGTCACCAGCACTCTGGTCTTTTCCCATTTCTCATCATTCAAAGTCCTGCTACTGCCTCTTTGAAGCGCTCCTCAAGTTGCATGGGAAAAGCCAACCAAGCTTCTTGATACTCTTTATAAAAGGTTCTGTTCACGTCTCTATTACCATGTTCATCTGTTTGCTCATTGCTCAGCACTTGCTACTAGTATCTGTTTTGCTAGTTAAATTCAAAGCTCTTTGAGGATAGAACTTATATGAGTCTTTGAATTTCACAGAGCTTTTTCCAGTATTTGATGAGGAGAATCTGATCCTCTTATAAAATTTGCAAAGGACTGACTTCCTACTGTCTTAAGATGATAAAAGTACTTAAAGAAGTTGAAGTGGACCTATGTAATTGGGAAATGCATTTCAATACCTGTACCTGCATTCAATTTCATTATACTCAACCTTTTTAGAGCTATTATTTCTGTGTATAATGGCATATAAATTTGACGTTCAGCAGTATTACTAGAAATAACACTGTACACTAAAAAAGTCAACGAAAGCACTTTTAAAAATTGAAGCTCTCTTGGTGCTTTTTATGACAAATATATATTCTATATGTTTACTGCAGAAATGTTGGAAAATAAAGACAAGATTTTTGGCAATAAAGAAAATATAAAAGTTCCAATAATGTATGTGGCTATAAAGTCATGTTAAGAGGTCAGCAGAGAAGAGGTCAGTAGTGGTCAGTGGAGAGCCTCTGAAGTCTTTGTCTCCGTATATCCTCAAATTGTTTTGAACTTGTCATCTGCTAACATTACTTTACCAGCTCCTCTTTTCATTATGTAACAGGTATTTGTGCTTCGTATGTCTTATAATTTGTTTAACCTGTTCTTTAATGTTGGCATTTTACTTTCTGTCTGCCTTTTCAATACAATGTACAATGTTAGATTCTCATCTGTAGTTAAATCTTCAATGAAGCCTCTTCTACTCCCTTTAACTATTCAGATGTCTGTATGTCAAACGGATGCCTCCTTTCTTATCACACTTAGGTCCTTGATGTTACAGTAATCAGAGATACATAGTTACCTCTCTACAGAGCTCATTTTAGAGCTTTAGACCCATATATTGAAGTATTTGTTCCTGCAAGCTTTTACTCTCACTCTGACTGATCTGCATATCACCTGCCTTACATTTACTTCCTTGTTTCTGACAACCATATTTTCTTTCCTGCATTATAGTAATGATCCGCTGAGTGGTCTTTTTGCCTGTAATCTTCCTCCTTCTTTGGTCTAAGCCCCTGTTTCAGACACTGCAGTGGCATTTTCATAAAATACAGAACTGGTCAAGCCTTTCCAGTGCCTCAAACCCTTAAAATAAAATAGGGGAAAGTTCCTTAATGAAGCAATCAGAACCCCTTGTGATCTGATCAGTCAGTAGCTTCATCAACTTTACCCATGGCCATCCCTCATCACTAATTGTCTTTGCTTCATTCTGTCGCTTCCACTTCCAGGAATGAGCTCAGTTCTTGTTCACAACAAGATCTTAGTGCATGTTGTGCTGTCCATTATATCCCCTCTTTTTTTTTAACCTAACACTTTTGTATCCTTCAGATACCAAGACTAAATGTCATATCCTCCTTTCCTGATGCCTGAACTATGTACTAACAGACAATTCTGCATCCCATACAACCTCTGTCACAGGACTCCCATGCTGTACAGTCACTGTATATGTGATTTATTCTTTGTCCCTTCCAAGTCTACCTGGATTACCATGTCTGTTTTATTCACCACAGTTCATAATATAATGCTGAAGTTCCCATTTCTATTGCTGCCTAACAAATTATTCTAAAACTCGGTAACCAGACCAACTATTTTATGTTGTTCACAATCCCATAAATCAGAGATTCTGAAAAGATTCAGCTGGACACTTTGTCTCCAATCCAGCTCTCGGGGCTGAAAGACCTCTTCTCAAGTCGCTTGATTTGGACTCATATTCATATTTCCAGGCTCCTCAGCCTCTTCCTGTCACCACTAGCCTCCAGGGTCTGCCCACATAGATCAGGTTTCTCCTAACATACAGTCTCAGGGAAGAGGGACCTCTCAAATGGCTGCTGGTTTCCAAGAAGTTAGGAAAAGAAAGTTGTCAGACCCACTAAGGACCACATTCAGAACTGGGGCTAAATTGTATTGTTCTTAACTTCTGCTGTGACTGTGGAAATAAACTGCTTTTCTTGATAGAGGAGTATTCAATTCTCACTGTTATGGACATTTTGAAAAATACAGCCTAACATATACATATAGTTAGCTTATATTCAGTATACATGCTTTAAAACCCTTATATGTATTAAAGTATAAAATATTCCCATAAACTCTTATGCTAATATTCTCATTGGATGAAAATCTAGCATATTTATTATAATAGGTACACAGTAAATGTTAAATAAATATATTGATTTATTTTTATGATTGGGGCATATAAATATGCTATATTAATAAAAGCTTTGAAGTAAAACCATTATAATATCATATCATTATAAAAGTGTAAAGGCTTAGACTGCTAAGCTGGGAAGATAGTTCAGTTGGTCAAGTGCTTGCACTGCAAACCTGAGTTCTAACCACACAGAAGGAAAAAGAGTTTTCCAGGTGGCTGGGACCTTGCTCATATGAACTTACAGCAATGGTGACAGCATGCACTAGACCCATACAAACCCAAACAAAACAAAACCTCAGCACAGAAGTGGGGAAATGTGTAAGAAGCCCCAACCTTAGCTGAAGAACTATTTGCAAGTGATCACTGCTGGGTGAGGGAGAGTTGGTCTTCTTTAAAGGAGTGATGCTAGATAGGTTGACTAAGCTCCAGTGGATAAACTCACACTGAGGGAAACAACCTTGACTCAACAGAGGGGGCTGTAGAGGGGTGCAGATAGGGGAGGGAGGTCTAAATATGATCAAAATGTATTGTGTGTAATGTACAAAAAATTCAGTAAAAAAAAAAAATTTCTTTAAAGCTGGGTGCGTGATTCACACTTATAATGCCATCTCTGGAGATGCAGAGATAGCCAACCAGCCTAGCCGACTTGACAAGCTTTCTCAAAAATCCAAGGTAGATAACTCCTGAGGGACAATACCCAAGGTCGTCCTTGTGCCTGCACACATGTACACACACACATGCACACATAAGTCTATGTATGCGTACACACTTACATACACAAAGGCTTGAAATATGAATATTGCAGTTTTGATTCTAATGAATTTTTAGAATTTTCCATTTTTATCTAAAAACAATTCTCATTTTTCAGACAGTAACAATGAAAATAATATATTTAAACTTTTTCACATCTATTGTTTTAAAAAACATCAGGCACTGTCACCATGATGCAGTTACTACTTAGTAAAAATGTCTTGAACAATGTAAATCATTTTCATGTATGGAGTGGAAAATTTACTGGTATTTTAATATTGAAGACTGAATATGGTTTTATTTGAAGGAATTGAAAGTCAGATGACAAAGGAAAATTAAATGCCTTTTTAAACAAGAGATAGTTCATTACACAAATTTTGCTATGTTAGTGTTTGGAAAAATATCTCGAAGGTCTGGGTTTTTCCTTTGTTTCTTGCCTGGTAAGTGCTATATGGAGAACTGCATACACACCTGCCTCCATAAATTAATGGAATCACTCCATTTTCTCTTGAACATATTTATAAAGGCATCATTTTTTGCAGCAGCCTAGAGTGCTGTGAGTTGCAGGCATATACTTGTACATTTTTTCAGAAAAGGCTGAAACCCCTGGGGGTAAGAATCTAGAGGGTCAGTGTTTGTTTGCGACAAGTCCCACTTGATTGCAGCATCCTGAAATAGTGTTTTGTTTTCAAATAGCATATATTACATATTTCAAACTGTGCATGTTTATCACACATTTCCTGGACTGGCCTTATTTACAGATGGTTTGAATAAATTTTTCTGCCTTCTCTCAGAATTTACACAGGCCGTAGTTAAAAACTAGCCCTTGTTTAACATGAAGGTATTTTTGCTCTACAGAATGTGACTGTATCCAAGCACAACAATGCTGGCATCCTTTCACGCTGGAATTAACTGTTCCTCATCAATTTAATGATGGTCAAAATAGTCCCCTTTGTACTAAAAAGTCGAGCATGTCTTTTTTTAAAAAAAAAGAAATTAAGTTTCCTGTGCTATTGTGGCTATGCACATTGACAAAGGCTGTAAATTTGCTTTTAAGTATGCTATTTTACTGCACTCCAAATTAAACAATGGTTTTCCTCCTATGTGTTTAACACACTCCACATTGAAACAATTATCCATTTTAATCTCTTAAATAACTTCAGCTTTGGCACATTTTTCATATTTCTTCTAATGCCACACACACACAGATTAATTAAGTCCACCCAGAAATAAAAATTAATGCATTATATTAAAGAATTTTCTGTCTGTCTGTGTATGTGTATATATATATATATAGACACACACACAAACATGTAAAAACATCTACTTTATGCAATAGTATGTACTTATCTGTATATAATTATTTGATATAATGTGTTTGTTTTTCATTTCTTGTTTTATGCATCAAATGTGAAATGTTTCTCTCTTGGCCTATATAAAAACATGGGACGTGGGGTAGGGAGCTGTTACCATCTCTGCAAGAAAGTAATGGCCTTGGAAATAAATTTTAGGTTTAAATTCTGAACTTACATATAATAAGAGTTAACTTAACTCTTATATTAACTTTACAGCCTTCGAATTTCAATATCCTCATGTGTAAAACGATCATTTTAACAGTGACCCAGAAAGTTGTGAGACTGAATGTAAAATATAGCTAGCTACAAAGTAAGTGTCCCAATGAATTGATGATGGAGTTTCAAAAATCACTGATTTTGTAGTTTTTTATTTTAACTAATAAAATAGGTTTGTTGAAGTATCTTCATTAATTAGGATCAAAAGCAGAAAATGTGGTACTTCAAAGACTTGCCAGACCACCCCATAAATATACTAAGTTGATTTTACTTTCTCCTCTTCATAGTAGACAGCTTCATCATATCATGTGTGATTTTTAACCTTGGGTAGATATTGGCCACATCCTATATGTTTTGTTTGTTTGCTTTTCATTTAAGAATGAGTCTTACTAATTTAAAACTTTATTCATGCATTCTCAGACATCCTTTTTAGAGTGGCACCCATGTGTGGCTTTGGTGGCATGGCATAAGGACAAATGTTCCGCTTTTCACCTGCTTTTTCCTCCTGGCTTTTGTAGGTTTTGAGGAAGAGAAGAAGGAGCCACAGTAAAGGCAAACTAGATGAGAAATGGCCTTCTCTTGGGGTAGCACTGGTGACTGCTCTGCCTCATCTTACACCATGAGTAGTATCATGGTGGAGAAGGAGGCACACTGGCACTAACTCACCTCCCTGATGAAAGTTTGCTACTGGGCAGCATCTGTAGACATCTGTACCTCTTGACTAATTTAGTCACATCTTCATGTGGACTAGTGGTCATAATATATCTCTTCCTGTCTCCCAAACTGTGGGGTCACCAGGTGACATGCCAGATCCTCATGACAGCTTTCTTGGAACAGTAGTGCTCAACTGGTCATTATTAGTGGAATCTATCCTCTTTCCTTCTCAAGGCTGCAGAATGTGACGAGTTGTCCCAATCATTTCTCCAGACAACCCCCATTTCATCATCTCTCTCACCTTGCCTGGACAGCAGTCACTGACCTGGACTACTCTATAGGGAACTCATGTGTATTCCTCTGTTCAGTCATGCTGCTAATTAAGGATCCATTCTCTAGCAATTCTTCTTCCTTAGGAATAACTTCTTTGCACAATGTTTCTTTCCATGGAAGTCCAGACGTTCTCTACCTTCTTAGTCCTCTTATGCTCACTGTGAATGATGATGTTAGGTGATTTGAGTGGAAAAACTTAATGTTTTTAAATGGTGTTCTTCTAGTCTCTGTAGAAGTGATTGAAGTTCATCGTTTGTGACTCTATGAAATTAGATTATCATGTGCTTAATATTGTCTTCGTGCTTTGCTCTTAAATTCTGGGACATTAGAAAAAACATTATTAAGCTTATTGAAAAGTCAACTGGGTAGAGGCATACAACCCCGCCCAGCTGAACACCACTGCTGAAGGGTAGAAACATAGTTCAACATGAACAGATAAGGAAAATAACACTAAAAAGCAGTAAAGTTTAAAAACAGTTAACCTTTTATGGAACTCGTAAGTTATTAAATCAGAGAAAAATTGTTCTTGAATCTCATAAATTTTCTTAGTAAAGTCTAAAAGCAATTATGTCAAATGCTGAATATGTACATATTTCTTAATCATAAGAAATTTTGCATGGATGGGGGAAGTGGGGAAGAGAAAAGTATAGAAAAAATATGTGACGAGAAAACTGTTTCAAGATGAATGTCTGTTATCTTTGGTGATAATAAACAACTTAAACTATTAGAAACTCTTTGGGACAAATGCATAGGCCAGTATGCCCCAAATAAGGATTATCTGCCATCTTTTTAAGTGAGCATAATAAGATGATAAAACATGAGGAGATTTTGATAACTGAGTTTATTTCTATTAAATATGAATCCATATGGACCAGATGTGGTGGCTAGTGTTAACTGTCAACTCAACAGGATGTAGAATCACCAGGGAAGTGGGCCTCTGGGCATATCTGGTAGGGGGGGAGATTATCTTGATTATCTTGCATTAACAGAGGTGGGAAAAGTCACCCACTGTGGATGACACCATTCCCTGACTGGGATCCTGACAGTGTAAGGAAAGAAGCTGAGCAGTGCATTAATCATTGCTCTCTGCTTCCTGACCAGAGGTGCAGTGTGACCAGCTGCTTCAACCTCCTGCCACCTTGACTTCCTGTCTGTGTATTGTGAGCCGGAATAAACCCATTCTTCCTTAAATTGCTTTTGTCACAGTGTCTTATCACAGCAAGAACAGACACTCAGATACCAGGAGAGTCCGGTAGTCACTTCCTGGTTAATTCACTGCTTTGTGTCTTAAGTGATGAGCTAATCTGCACCTGTTTCTTCATCTTCCTACAGACGGCAGCCTGTGAGTCCTCCTCCTCCACCACGGCCAATTTCCCCACCTCATACCTATGGCTACATTTCAGGACCCCTCGTCTCAGATATGGATACAGATGCACCAGAAGAAGAGGAAGATGAAGCTGACATGGAAGTGGCCAAAATGCAAACTAGAAGGCTTTTATTACGTGGCCTCGAGCAGACCCCAGCATCCAGTGTTGGGGACCTGGAGAGCTCTGTCACCGGGTCCATGATCAACGGCTGGGGCTCAGCCTCAGAAGAGGACAACATTTCCAGCGGGCGCTCCAGTGTTAGTTCTTCTGATGGCTCCTTCTTCACAGATGCTGATTTTGCCCAGGCCGTTGCAGCCGCTGCGGAGTATGCTGGTCTGAAAGTAGCTCGACGCCAAATGCAGGATGCTGCTGGTGAGTTACACACTCCCTTCACCATGCTGCGAAAAAACCTGTGATGTGCATGATAGTCACTGTGTCCCCAGTTGTGTGTTCTGTGTGAAATACACCTCCAGTACTTCCTTTTCTTTTGACACTGCCTGCAGAAAATAATGTTCAAGAATATGAAGGAGTATTTCCTTTTTCTTACTAAGACTTTTAAAATAATTTCATTGACCTTTATTTTATAAACTCCGTGTAAGGTGAGTGATGAGAAGCTGTCTGGGATGTCCTCATTTATGCTGACAATGCCAAATATATACATAAATGTGTACGTATATACAGGTTTTATGAAAACTGATATAATTTTGTTATTGAATACATACAATAAAATGAACTCTGTTCTATTACATACATTTTATAAATGATTTTAATGTAGAAAGTAACCAAGGTGATAGTTCTTTTTAATTAATTAATTAGCACTTGTGTGAGAGAAATAGAAAAATATCCAGCTAGAACACTCATGCCTTTGGAAAATGGGATATTTCTCATGTACTTCCTGTGATAGTTACTCTTGTACCACTGTGATTACAATTCCTAGCAGAAGCAACACACGGGAGGAAGGTTTCATTTTGGTTCGTGGTTTTCAGAAGGTTACAGCCCATCATAGTGAGGAAGATATCACAGAGAGGCTCAATTTAGGACGGTAGCAGTCTGCTCAGGTAGTTGCTTACGTTATGGGGAAAAGAAGCAGAGAATTCAGCTAGAGCTAGTAGGTACAGCTTTCAAATCCCTGAATCCTGTGACCCTCGTCTGCCAAGCAGGCCCCACACTGTACAGGTTCTGCCATCCTCAAATTAAAACTACCAGCTAAGGAACAAGGACTCAAAACTGAAGCCTATGGGGGAACCATTCAGATTGAAACTATAATACCTCCTTACTCCATATTAATTTAACTGGAAAGATATGAAGAAGTTTATAATATGCATACATTTTAAAGCTTAAGCATTTCATAATTTCAGTCTAATAATTGAAAGAACAAATTACACACATACAATACTTTTTTCCTGCTCCTCTTTTCATTGCTATAAACTATTTTAATGAATATATGTATATTTTAACCCATTTTCACTCATTTCTTCCTGTCAACCATTGCACAGAAAGTAAATAGTATAAGAAAGAAAATAATTTAAATTTAAAACAAATATTCATTTTATGGTCTGTGTAGGATGAGTATATGAAAATGTTTATTGTACATGCATATTATATTGTATGTGTGTCTGTCTGTCTGTGTTTCTGGTAGCCAAGAAAATACAAGCAGCAAAGTAAAAGAATGTGGTCAAGAAGAAAGAAATGTTTTCAGGAAAAGAAAAGATCATCTCAACCAGTCAATAATTGATGTCTATTGTTCTGTTTTTCACACTTTGATAACTGTCACATTGGTGATTTTCCTTGATTTCTTGAGATATTTCCTTGGAAATTACTTTTTAACAGTATAGAATATATTCCTAGAAATTTAACTTCCTATAAGGCCATTTCTATGTGTTACTCATCACAGGAAAAAGATATTTCATATTCCCCAACCTATTATCATAGAATATGTATATTCTTTCCAAGGCTATGTTTTTTTTCAAATTCAACCAAATGTCCTTTTTGCCAGTAGCTGCTGAATGAAGTAAAATATCCAAACCTAATTATCTTTATAAATAAATAAATAAATAACATCTAATTATACATGTATGTTTTCCCTTAGTTTTTAATCTTCTGTAAAAAAATACATACATGAAATTAAGTATCTCAATCCACTATTTTCAAATTTCACTAATGGTGTGTTTCAGTTCATTAAGTCAAGGAAACATAGAAATAACGTTGAAAATTCATCTGTAAACGACCTTATGCCTCAGGGTCTATGAGCATTAGATGGCCTCACACAATGGAATGAATAATGGTTTCATCTCAACCCTAATTCTCTGTTTTCATGGATATGTAACTTTAATTGTAATAGTCTCCATCATTGCTAAAGAGAATTGGGTTTAATATTTTATTGTATTGTAATTTAGTGGCACTTCTGTTTCGTTTGGCCCATAATTAGAATGAACTAAACATGCACTGGCTTCTGCCTATTACAATATTCTTTTCAGGAAATGGTGGTGCTTATCATGTGACTTGAAGTTAATATGAATGGATAATCCAATCACATTGCTTCTCACTTGACTGCATTAATGTGCCTCAGCATTTTTAAATATGTTGATTCCAATATATATGGCTTCTCCGATTTATAGCCAAAAGACACGTTGTCTTGTTCCTAGGTCTGTTTGAAGTTTCTTGTGGTTCAATGGAAGTTGTGAGTTTGTAAATGAAATTTCTAGAAACCAAAACAGCGTGAGTCAGCATAGCACTGATAACCTTCCATTCCCATTTTAGACTAAATCACATTGTACCTCTATCTACATAAGAGCCAGAGGGTCTGTATCTAAATAAGAGCCATAGGGTATCTACATAAGAGCCAGAGAATTTGAGAGTGGTGAAATGCACTGTCTGCTTAGTGAATTCCATTCCACTGTCACCTGACAAATACTGTCTCTCCAAAAACAGCTACCACCGAAACTTTGAAGTCTTGGAATATTGGCAACTGAATATTGGATCAACAAATACCTTGAGACAGGAAATAGCACAAAAGTACTAAATATGTATACTAGGTCAATTTCAGACCTCTTAAAAAGAAAATACCTAAGGATATTAGTAAGTTAATATATTAGTGTTCTACCTTCAAAGAATGCCATAAACAGACTTAATTGAAATAGGAATGTAATTAGTCTGGTTCATTTTAAGAAGATTAATTTGTTAAGGATTCCAATTTTTTTTCCTCTTCAGGAAGCAACAAGCATTGAATATATGATGCAAGAAATTAACATTTTTGTTTTAATAACATTTACTGATGCTAGTTGCAAAAACAATTGCAGTGTTTTCCTTTTATGAACAAGATCAGGTAGCAGAACAAAAGTAATTGTTTTTTTTTGGTCTTTTTGAGACAGGGTCTCCCTGTTAGCCCCTGCTGTCCTCGAACTCACTATGTAGACCAGGCTGGCCTTGAACTCACAGAGATCCACCTGCCTCTGCCTTCCAAATGCTGGGATTAGAGGCGTGCATCACCACGCCTGGCAAAAGTACTGTATTTTAAAAAGGAAAATGACTAACAATCCTTTCAGGATGTCTTTTCTAATTTGCATAGATAGAGTAAAAAAGTCTACAATTGATAGATTTTTTAGTATTTTTTAAAATTAGAAATGTTTCTAGTTTGAGTGTTTTCCTTTTATTGTACCTGTTATACTAAATTTCACTGATGAGTCTGCTTCTGGCTTTCTTCCTCAGGCCGTCGACATTTCCACACCTCTCAGTGCCCTAGGCCCACGAGTCCTGTGTCTACAGACAGCAACATGAGTGCTGCTGTAATCCAGAAAGCCAGACCAGCCAAGAAACAAAAACACCAGCCAGGACATCTGCGCAGAGAAGCCTATGCAGACGGTAAGTCCATTGACATGGGTGAAAACATCTCCAAAACTCCCCTGTCTCTCTTGACTTCACTGGCATTAGAAATTACCCTAAAACTCATTAACAGTAACCTTATATAACTTACAGAACTGAAGTCTGTCAAGCATCTTAGTCTTTGCAGTTTTCTGAACAGCTGGTTATTTAAGAAATTAAATAATTAATGTTATTTAAAGTTAATTTTATAGTTTCACACCATGGACATGACTATAGTTGGTATCATAATAGACGATTGATGGTCACTGGGTTAAATGATAAACTCTCCAGAAATATCAATATTCTCTTCATTCTGTCTTTTTGAAATAAGTTTGCTTTGAAACAAAGGGCAATAAACGTGTTGGATATTTACTCCAACCACAATGATTTGACAGGGAGTCTCTGCACCTTCGAATCCTCTTCCTCATGCCTTCACATGCAATATGGTCTCTCACTGAAGAGGGAACACTTGTTTTCTCGAGGGGGTAGAGGAGAATAATGCAAACATTATGATGTTGTATAGAGAACACCTTTAATGAAAGTGCCTCAGGTGGCCCAACATTTATTAAACTGCCTCCACCTTCTCATCTTATAAAACAACCCCACGGGCTTTGTTGGAAATTCATGTAAGATAAATTCTTTCAGACTCGCCCATCTTGTCAAGTTTCCTGAATTTGCTAAAGGGTTGGGGGAAGAAGGGTGTCACAGGCAGTTTCCCTACCTCCTGGGTGTCTGCAGCCACAATCTGATTAGGACTTTCATTACCACTCAGCAATTTTTCAAAAAGGGCATCATTTTCCATTATCATATGAAAGTCTAATATTATAGATCCTTATCCAAGGGTATAGGGAGGGTTTTCTGAGGTACTTCTCCCTGTGAGTCTTGCCACTTGAAAGAAAAATTTAATACAAGCTCACAGCATGATGAGCACAAGTAATTTTGCAATGAGTGGTTGTCCATGCTATTATCTGCAGTGTATTCTGAGTATTTTCTCTCACCAGCGTCTATCTGATATTAGACTACATTAAATACTGGTGTGACATGGTGCACCTGGGCCTCCTGGCTTCTGCCCAGGACTCTTTTGTCAGTGAAACTGAGCTGTCAGAATATTATCTGATTTTGAAGGGTTATTACAGTGGTTCTGTGTGTGTTTGCCTCTCTGAAGGGACAAGCACTAGGTGTAAATCCCCAAACTCTACGGGCAATTTTACATTTATGGGACCCCTGTAATGGCATTTTACAAGTTTTATTGCTGTTTTATCAATGTTTATTATCTAGAAGACAGTGCTTCTCACTGGAACACTGGCCAGTCATCGAGCCTGGATGTAAACACAACTAAATTGAACACATATGGGAAAATCTGGCCTAAAGCTTTGTGTAGATCTTTCCATCTCTTATTTATATGTGTTTGGTGGGGAGTTGGGCATTGAATGATGCCTCCAAAAATGTTTTGAGTAAATGAAAGCATGCCAGGTTAAAGAGTGTAGCGTCAGGGTTACAAATTACACCAGTCTTAAAAATTGTTGCCTGTGTTTGCTGCTCTGCATACAACAGTACTTATTTCAGTGTGGGTTTATTTTATTTTATTTACTATTTTTATTTTACATGTATGAGTATATTGCTTGCGTGTAGGTAGATGCACCTGTGTCATGCAATGCCCACGGGAGTCAGAGGAAGGTGTCAGAGCCCCTGGAATTAGGATCGGTTGTTAGGGGCGGTTGTTAGCCTCCATGTGGGTTCTAGGAATCAAATCCAGATCCTCTGCAGGAGCAGTCAGTGCTCTTAACTGCTGAGCCATCTCTCCAGCCAGTCAGTGTGGGTTTTAAAAAATTTCATTTATTTACTTTTATTTTATGTGTATAAATTTTTTTGCCTGCATGTATGTAAGTGTATTATGTGTGTACAATGCCCATGGAGGCCAAAGGAGGGCATTGAATCCCCTGGAACTGGAGTTATAGACAGTTGTTAGCCATCATGTGGAGGCTGGGATTTGAACCTGGGTCCTCCACAGAAGCAGCCAGTGCTTTTAACTGCTAAGCCATCTTTCCAGCCCCTATTTAAGTATGTTTCAGAACTAAACATATATCACTCACATTATATTTTAATTTGAGGAATACCAAATAATCGTATTGAACAGTGTAAAGTCAAGAAGTTAATCTGAAGTATTACTTGGATTTCTTATTGCTCACTTCATAAAAGTGGTTATGCAGATTATCAGTGCACAGTGCAATGCAGAAGATAATAATAGTTTATTCTTTTGTGAAAATAGATAAAATGAAGAAATTATTAGAGTTGGTTTTGAATTAGAGCTTTAACATCCCTTCAGCATTTGGTAACCATCTATCTTTATGTTATGATTACTATATTATTTCTTAAACTTAATTCTGAATGTTTTATTGAAAATGCTACATGTTATTTGTACAGCTCTGAAAAGTATGTATCAATTATTTAAAACCACAAAATGCAGATCCTTCTTTTTTTAAATATTTTTTATTTATTATTTTTATTTTATATGTATGAGTGTATTGCCTGCATGCATGTGAGTGCACCCGTGTCCTGCAATGCCACGGAGGTCAGAAGAGGGCTTCGGATTCCACTGGAACTGGTGTTAAGGACGGTTCATAGCCACCGTGTAGGTGCTGGGAATTAAATCCGGGTCCTCTGCAAGAGCAGTCAGTGCTCTTAACCACCCCCATGCAGATCCTTCTTAATGCAGCAAATAAAAGAAATGCACACGCACCCGCATGTGCACACATACACACACATTTTATAATGCTGGAAGTCAATCCCAGGGCTTTATACTCACTTTACCACTCAACTGTTCCCCAACCAAAAATGTGCATATACTTGATGATTATATTTATGATATAGAGACAAAGTAATTTTCTCAGAATTTTTTTGATCAAATTGGTATAGTGTTTTTAGAAAATATATTCAAAGGCCATTTCATGGAGAAGCCCAATTGCAAGCATGGGTTTTCTTGTTGCTGTTTTTCTGCTTTTGTGTGTGTGTGTGTGTGTGTGTGTGTGGTGTGATTATAAAGATAAGGGGGTAGAGGAAAGTACTGAGATATCTATTGTTAAAAATTTGAATTAAATTGGTAAAGCATGGAGGAGTTTGTGATTTTTTTTTTCTTTTGTTCTTTTTTTAAGTGCAGTGTATTGACTGTAGTGGATGAGCTTGGTTATTGTGTGTGGAATTATGAGAACTATGTCTGGAATAGGTAACATTTTGGAGTTTGTAGCATCTTTGTTTTATTAAATTTCAATGAAATTACAATTCCCTTGATAGATTTTTTTGTAAAATATTTAAAAGTACCTACAGAAGATCTTTCTGAATGGACACAGTGTCGCTTAGCCTCTATATTTGTTGCTAGAGCAAGTACCACTGACGATATGATTAAAACAACACAAATTGATTTCCTCACAGCTCTGGAGGGTAGAAGTCCAAGATCGGGTGGTGAGCAGGGTTGGGTCTTTCTGAGGCTTTTCACTTATATCTTCCCAGTCTTCACTCTGTCTGTAGATGTGCCTTTAATCTCCTGTTTTTATAGTCATATTTCAATACGTCCCACCTACTAAGCTCATTTTAACTTTATTACTTCTCAAAAGACTCCAAGTACAGTCACATTCTAAGGTAGTGGGGGTTACAACTCTGCATATGATATTTGACATATCACAGAAGCCCACTGGTCCCTCCAAAATAGGTAACACTGTGGCCATGCCTTGTCTGTAGGTAAATACAAGACTTTTTTAAAAACCCAGGGAGCCTTTACAAAGCAGAGTATTGCATGCTGCAGTCCAACCAATAAGCTGAATCTAATTATTTATTTATTTCTTATTGCCACTTTCAAGTTTAACCCAGACAGAGGATAGAATTAAAATATATGAATATTTATCACTTGAAGTCTTGTGGTGTTAAAGCCAAACACAAGTGCACTTCTAGGACCTTCTAATAGATTCTTCCCTCCCTTTCTTTTCAACTTTTCCAATATATTTACATACTTGATTTCAAAACCAAATCTATGTTAATTCTCCAGCCCTACTTTTCATAAATTATAAATTCACTGTCCTTTTTAGAATGATGATATTTTGACTTAATTACAAGGTCTTATGACTTTAGCAGTTACATAAATAGCTGGATCTCTGTAACAAGTTAGTGCTGGGCTGACAGAATTACCTGCATACATATTGTTTATATGTATTCCTTTATATGAGGAATAGTTTGTTATTTGGAGAGTCTAGTATAAGGAGAAAGTGTTAATGAGATTAATAAGAAAGATTTTTTTTTTTTTAAAAAG